CCTCCAGGTTGGGGGTTGGAACAGGTATGGCGACTTGTTCCGTGGAAAAGGTAATGCATTTGCATTTCCCCGCCAAACACCGCTCCCTTGCGGTTAGGCTTTTGAGCCAAAGGCTTTGGTTGAGGACCCTAATCGTCCTCCTGTCTAGGTGTGGGCGCCCTGGCAGTATCCCATCCCTCGTACAACCATAACCTACACAACTAACAATAATCGCATGCCACATCGGCCGTCGCGTGTTGTACGGCAGTAAAGCATCAGTGGCACCACTGATGATGCTGTCTTTGATGATGACGATGATGATGGTGTGGCTACGTTCCAAGGGCAGTCGTCATTCCGACGTTCGGTACGCTTCCGAGTTACCTGCCAGGTTTCCACAAACCACGAGAATTTCCAGCTTTCAGATTGTGGAGTGGAGTGAACCAACTGATTGCAGACTGGTGTGGCTACGTTGCAAGGGCAGCCGTCATTCCGATGTTGGGTACGCTTCCGAGTTATCTGCCAGGTTAGTGATCATATACACTTTGAGCCTCCGTCCAAAATTATCCCGTATGTTTCCAGTATTCGTTGCGTTACCGGATTGGTCAGTCCTAACATGCGGGTCAATCGATTCATACAACTAAGATAGTTACCGAGTCGCCGTTCGAGATATTGGATAAACCAGTCAAGCACGAAGACGGTTCAAACGTAATGCGTCCTATGTGCGCCGGTGAAGTGGTGGTAACACACACACCCTGTGTGTCAAAAGTCCGCGGTTCAAATCCCAACCAACATCGCTGCTGAGCTTCAATAAAACCGGAACTCCAGTTCACTGAGTCCTCTTTTTGGCGTGGAATTGCTAAAACAGTTGCGCCAGGCCAGGAGAGAGAAGTTTGAACTCAGACTCCAACTGAACGAGAAGAGTCATGTGGGTTTTCGAACTCCGGACTCATGAGATTCGCATAGAAAGCACAATAGTGGTATATGAAGGCCAATATCGCAGGATGGGTGTGGAAGTACACAACAAGTTCCTACTGCGACTGATCAGGAGAGCACGATTGAAGGCTGGTGCCGCCGTTGAGACGATAAGCTAAGGCAGGAATCGAGTTCTAGCACAAACAGATGTATGGTGAGGATAACAGGTTGTAAAACCACGCAGTTTGTGGAAGAATTGCTTGGACCACTTCCTATTACTATGCTCCACCTAGTAGTACAGGTCAGAAAAAGTTGACAACGAAGGAGAGTTATTTTATGTGAGCATGGGTTTTACACTGAAGAACGCATAGTAATCAAGCTACCAAAAAGGGTACAACTATGTTTCTTTCCTGTTAAGACGGTATGATAGTTTTCATACGGTATCTTGAGTATCAAGCATACCATTCGGCAACAGATGTACATCCTCAGCCAACAATCGGTCTATCTATACGTGTAGGTGAGATGAGTTTGTGCAAGGGTTGACATGGGTTTCGTACAATCCCAAAGTTTCTCGCTTCCCCCATCTCTTCAGCTTTTTGGACTTCCAAACCTCCTCGATTAGCATAGATGTTCTTTTAGACCTGAATTATGACAACCGACCAAGCACTGAGCACGAATATGTATTCAAGCCTCGAGCAAGGTTAGATTCTTCTTCAAGACTCAGTGTTCAGATGAACCTGGTTGGGCCAAACAACATGCGGTGTCAGACATCTTGCAAGGCTGTGGGTAGTACACCCGCATAAGAGTCCCTATCGGAAGATGAGATAGTCGAAAGGAAGTGCTTCAAAGTCTAACAACTTTTGGATAGCCAGGCAAGATGTGCGCACCTTGCGTGCCCCGAAATGTGCAAAGGACAAGCGCGCGATCATAATCAATATGGGTGTTCCAGAACTGGCAGTACCTAGCAAGTGATTCGCGCGTCTATCTGTGTTTGAGGCTGGCTCGTGAGTGACGGAATCATGCGGCCAAGCGGATCTGGTTGTTCCTCAAGTTGGTGCTGAACAGTCCGTGATTGGCACACAACTGTAACAGACACTCATTCTCATGCACGTGACTCGATTCCGGTCCAACCAAGCCCCGATAGAGCTAAATCTGCCCACTTATGCGTTCATATCCCCGAAAATCATTACAACATTCGAGTCTTAAGCCTGCTGTAATAACGATCAAGGCGTCATATCGAAGCTTCGTTCTGACGGAGTGCAAGTAAATGCAATAAACGGACGGCGGATATCAGTGCGTTTACGGGGTGTTTTCACGGATACTGACAAATGTACCGCACGCAAGCGACGAGCAAAGGGTATTCAGTCATACAGGGACCCTTCAACTAAATTACTTGAAATAATACCAGTTCCGGTAGAACCAGTCACAGCGGCTTTTGGATCACCAGCGGCACGAAACCAGAAGCAAAAAGAAACCGACGGAAAGGTCGGTTCAATAATATTACTTGGGTCAAAGAGCTTCTTTTCAAAGAGACTACACTCAACAACAGAAAGCAAGTCCAGCGTACAAGCAAGAGCAGTCTGATTTAGAATGCGAACGTCAAAGGCGACCCAGATGAACAGAGCCAACGTGTCACTCGGACCTTCACCCACTGACCGACATGACATGACAGCCTTTGTGAGTTTCACATACATAACCCCCCCCCTCCCAGTATAGTTCTCAACGGATTATGGACCAAGACACTGGGAATACCATTGGCATGTCTGAAACGCGTTTTCTCAAGTTAACAAGTGTACTAGCTTGAGAAACGACAAGAAAACCTGATCAGACACTGTAAGGGAAACGGGAAACGGGAAAAAACGTCCGCACACAAAAGAAAATCACGTACTTAAATCGGATTACATTTGGATGCCGGAGTTGGCGCAAATGTCGGATATCGGTGTCTCGCTGTTCATTCACCTTCTTCACAGCAATAGTTTCTCCACGTAAACGGCCGCGGAGCACAACGCCCTGAGCCCCGGAACCGATCCACTCTAAATCGGTGATCGTATCAAAGGAGACTTCCCAAGGTGGTTCTGAAACATTCGAAGATGGAGTGTGAGTGAGGCTGGCGCATAGGATGACAGTAGCGGAAAGCATCAATGACTTGGCTCCAAAGAGGTCAAATTATCATACAAAGCTACAGTCGTTCAAAGAGGTTCACACCACAAGAACTCGAGCAATTAGGTGTCATTTAAAATGTCAGGTGATCGGCACTACCAATACAGACTGTTAACGGCTGGTATTCAGTAAACAAAACCGTTGCTTTTGCCGGTGGACCGCATAGTGGCGTTCCACGCTCCTCCGTGCAATACACCGAGGGTTCAAGCATGCTTATTCTAATCTGATCCGAGTGGAACACGAGATTGCTACGCACTGAATGCAGTAAACATGCAATGGTTTCCAGTCGGAATTAGGAGGATATCGAATTCACAAACACTGGTGTGTACGCAGATGGTCCAAATCTATTGAAGTACATCGCCAATGATTTGCTCTACACAAGGGACTCAATCGAGACATACGGTAAACACCCAAGTGACTAAGATTTCCGACTGTTTTTTGGTCTGTTACGGACTAGTTACACATTGGAAATTCCGGTGTTTTGGTGGAAAATGCATCGCAGATTTTGTATTGCTACTGCTGGGATCGAGCACAGGCCAACTTGTGCATTGGCAGACTAAATAAAATTTATCTTTGACTCTTCGTCTGCATTTCTGAACTCAAAAGGAGGTCGTTGCAGAGAACAAGTAACAGACCTGGCTTTGAAAAGGAGGATATTATCGACCGAGACGCAGAGAAGCTCGTAAACTGGTCATCTGTGTGTACGTTCGTCTGCACGCTGACCTCAGCCTAGTTTGGCGACCTTAAACAGTCCTTAGTTGATTTCTGCTCTCAAAGCAGTGTGAAACTCGGTCAGCTTTAAACTAGACTGAATAAAAGTCGGTTGTCCTCTTACTCAAGTGCACCTTACGAAATGACAGTAACTAATTACTGCTACTATGTCGTCTAAAAACTATCGCGAATCTAGCGAAACACACTCATTTGCAAACAAAGTTGGTTTTGCGAGAGACCCACATGGAACCCAGCTGAATCTCTTGTTAGCGATGTTTCCAGGAAACATCACAAACGAGAGATTCCAGTTGAGTCTCCTGGAAAACCAAATTTGTTTGAAAATGAGTGTATTTCTCTAATTTCATGTAATTTGGTCCCAAGTAAAACATAAGGTTGACGGAAACTCGGAGAATGCGCCTACCTGATGAGCCCCAAGAAAGGCGAAAACGGTCGTGGCCTGTCGAAAGCTTTCCAGCAACCTTATGGGTAGTGCACTGTGTATATATCGCGAATCTAGTTTTCCTGCAACAGTAATTTCAAGCACTTAAAACACTGGAATTTATCGGGCTTATGATCCACATGTACGGCAAAAACCCATCACAAACCGAGAGAAAAAAACTGGCATACACCGTGGAAACGGTCATTAAGGTGGACAAAACTAAATATTCGAACAGTTCGTGCGTAGCTCTGTCGGTCCAGCTGTGGAATGGTAGAGCGGCTGACTTTTTTCTGCACGAACCCATAATATAAACCATCTAGTGTACAAAGTAGACCATATTGTGCAAAAACAAAGCGTTGTTCATCGGAACCGATTCATCCCACACTCGCAGTCTATAGAATACTGATGGAGCAAACTGCCAAATCGGTTCCGAACACAAATCGTCGATCAGTGATGTTATCGATGGGATATACCGAAGACTTTTCAGTTAGCCCCCTGACGTCTCCCTTCAGCCTACCAGGAATTGAGAACAAATGTGACAGGAGTAAAGAAATGCAGGCCATCATAACTTTAAAGGCGACCGCAAAAACTCGTACTGGGCATACATTGGAAATAAAACTGTCTGTTTGAAAAATCGAAACGAGTTCCTTTAAAGTCAAAAGAACTTCAGAAAGCACGTCACAGGTTAACAAAGATGGCATGTTTACCGTACGGTCCGTCCAAAAAGGACAACCANACAACCACGAGAATGGCATTCCTGATCAGGAGAAACAAAACAAGAAAATGCAGCAATGCATCGGTCAACATTCTCTGTTATGTTCCTCAGGGTAACCATGCCAACCAATGAGTGTCAACGAGTGAAATTCCTGAGGTATTTTCTGTTGCGTAACAGTGCGTTGGCAACATGCCCGCATTGATATTGACAAACTTATCGACCACAATTGGCAATCGTGTAACACATATAGAACAGAAGACATTTTTTGTAGAGAATAAAATTGAAACGTGGATAAAACACGGACTTTACTACTAGCAACCAGTACTTGAAGGCGATTAAAAACTTGCCTGATTCCGTAAGTAGCATGGGATTTCTTACACGCGAAACCGATCCAAACGAACGCAGACAGCCCATTATTCTAGTAAAGAAAGACCACTTTGCCGAATTTTGTGCACTGTCTCCGGAATCGCATACTTTTTTCGCCGCATCATCTCCTTCGTCGCATGTGTGGCTCGGATCATGAAGAACTCCTGAGTTCATAACAGCGCATTGGGACTGTACGAGCATCACTTTGGCCATCACAGAAGAATTGCCCGGCAGTGCTTGCTGAAGCATGCTGGCGGGTATAGCTTCGACCCGCTTACTTGGGCTGATGTCTCCCGAAGTACACAACTGTGGTACGGGCAGTGATCCCTCACCATGACGTTCCACGAGGTCGGCAGGCATTTGAACCGTCCTAATTCTCTAATTAACAGTGGTCGTCTTGAATGTGATCGACAGAGTAAACATGGGTACTACATACGGAGAAATTCTTCCATGAAGCTGAAAAGTAAAGCGACGTGAAGGATAAGACTTGTAGCTACAACTTGTAGAACAGCTGAAACCAACAAAAACCGGTAATGTCTGTCTGAGATTGCCATAAAACTGGTTTTCAGGAGCACAGTCACCTGAAATATGCGCTTCGTCTGAAGTAAGAAAGAGTGAATGATGAGAAACGGCGAATGGCACGTAGAATTGGCAACTCGCGTCCGGTAAAATCACATACCTGAGGAAATTTTTTAGATTCCCTGAGTCGGTTGGGGCGCTACTATCACACGCACTCAGCTGAAAAGAGTGGAATTCACAACATTGCAGTATCCCAAAAAAAAGTTGTTACTTAAAAGCACAGTAACCCAAACTGCAGGTAGCTGAATGACTAAGACTCACGATACTGATATACAAGTTTGGATTACAAGCATTCCCTCTCCAGAATTTTCAATGTAATTTCATCATCCTCACTAAAGACGGCAACATCAGTGATGACACTGATGCCTCATTGCCGTACAAACGTTATCTGTCTGCGCCTAGGACTCTCGCTTCCATCAAATATCCCATCTACCGGAAGATTTGTTCTCAAACGTTGAACTATGACAGGCGGTCGATGGCGGAAACTCGTAAAGGCACAGACGCGTCGTCAGGTGCACCTTTTGGACGCCCACCGGTACGCATCATCGCAAAATGCACCAGGAATAAGCGAAATACACTCAGTTGTACAACAATTTGGTTTTGATGGGAGATTCATTTGGAACCCAGCTGAATCACTCGTCTATGGTGTTATGCAAATGAGTGTATTTCGCCAATTTCGTGTAATTTGGGTTCAAATGGAACCTAAGTATTACGGAAACTAGGGGACTATGCCTATCTGATGAGCCCAAAGAAGAGCAAAACCGGTCATGTGCTGCCGAGGGGTTTTCAGCGACCTTATGAGTAGTGTATTACTTGCACGCACTGAACATCTTGTAGGGAATCCTTCCAACCAGAGGGAGTAAGAATGACAGCAGGTGCGACACTGAAATCCGTTGTGGACCATGTCGTGAGGGGTTTAAAACCATCTTCAAACAGGATCACTTTGGCCCCGGTCAGCATGAATGTAGCAGAGTACTTTTAAGTGTCCTATCACGGTCTGTCCCCCGTGAACATTCTACCGACAGAATATCGGTAGTTGGGGAGTCGAAGGTTGAGCATACGTACGTAGTACATGCCACAATCACTCTGTGAAAACTCTTCTCTTCCACTTGGGCAATCGGATAACATTCTTAGGTAGCTCTTGGTCCAGTGAGTCTACCAGCAGTACTTCCTAAGAAGCGCTTCTCAGACGTGCTGACACTTGTCCCCGCTTTAATATTCGAATGCTAAGGCATATCAGTAAAAGGCTGGTTAGGATGAAAAACTAAGGATATTTGAGCTTCATAATTTCTGCCATTTCCATATCTAAGATCACCAGCCTACTGCTTAGGCTTTGGGAATGTGTTGAAATATTGGAAGCTCGGGTGATTGAACACCCAACAATTGTGCACTGGTCGCATGGTGACGAAACGTTCGAACACCGATTGCCGGGCTCGGAAAACAGATCAACATCCACCTGAAAATCAACCAGTGTTAGACGTTTTGCATAAACAGCCGATTCCACCAGACGACCGTATCGATGCACTAGGAATTCAATGCCCACATCAGGCTAACAAACAGAGGAGATAAACACGTCTACTTTGTCCTAACTGAATGTGCCCTCACTTGTAGCTCTCTACCAGAGTTTGTTCATTTACCAGCGTTTGTTCATTCCAAGAAAAAATACAATCATTCAACTAGGACACTTTTGGTACGTGCTTGCTGTACAACTCAAATGAGGCAGAGAAGCTCACCAAACCTAGAAAAAAGCAAATGCAAAGCGATGGTTGGAGTAGAACCATAGACCTTTCGGTTCGTGGCCTCACGCCTTGACAGTTGTGCTTCCTCGAGCTCGTTCAGAAGATGCAAACATCCTGCATGTGGTGTGAGTTGGCGGCTTTAGTGTTAGAATAAAACAGTTTTCAATCAATAAGCGCATCTACGTGGTCGTTTCAACCTCGATTGCAATAGCCTTGATTGTGCTGAGAGATAATCAGGCTGGTACTAGGAAGCAGCTTGCTTTTTGTCAGTATAGTATTCTATCCAACAGAGATCATCCACGTAAACTGATCGAAGTGGTCCATTTTGATAGGAGGTTCTCTTCAAGGGGGCCGAACAAGGCCTTCGTTGAGTAACGAATGAATGGCCCTTGAGGTTAATACTTGAGTTTCAAGAAATCGGTATGTTCATCTGCATTTGAAAGAATTAGTTTTTTGGTTGCGCTCCTTTGAAATAGAATGATCTCATAATGGGGCGGCAAAAGTAGAAAAAAACCTTCCAGCTGTAGCACCCTTTCGGTGCCTAACTGCCATGCCACCCGAAGGTTGCACGACGCCAGGTTGCCCAAGCCTAGACAGGGGAAGTCGAGAGGCAGAGGTCGGGTTCGAACCACGGACCTTTCGGTCAGTAAATTCGCGCTCTAACCACTTGGGCCATCTCGCCCCGGCAGAAGTAAGATGATAAAAATGCCAAAACCTCTTCATTTGCTGTCACATATTCCTTCTAACCATATGGCTCCCCTTAAATTTTTCACTCGAAAAGAACATCGACGCATGTTGTCCGAAATAAGTACCTTGAT